TTGTTTGGAACTTGGATTGGATGGGATTGCCGCGATATGTCTGCGTCGCTCCGTCTCAGGAGGCGGCCGCGCCAATGCGACGTTCGCGCGACATTGGCGGGGAGCTGGCGCCGCGCATGGGCGCCAGCAATGCGAGCTCTCTGCGCAGCGGGGCCGGCGGGCCCCGCCGTGCTACCGCCTGAGCGCCCGGTGAGCCCGGGCGCCCATGCGCGAGACTTTCTCTGCAGGCGCGCGTCTGCCGGCGTTGCTCGGCGAGGGTGTCGACGCTGAGCCTGCCGCGCCTGTCTGGCGAGGTGCTGGACGGGCCAATCTGTCCGCGTCAAGTGCCCGTGGCCATGATCGGGCGGTTGGCGGGGATATTCAAATGCGTCCGCGTCGCAGACCCAGGCGCTGCCCGGCGATCCGAAAAATCGGCCCGCGCGCCCCCGAGACCCCGCCATGTGCGACTGAGGCCGCCGCTGGTTCAGCCAGTGGCGCTGCCCTTGGCGTGGCTGCCAGTCCGATGCGCATGCTGGCGTCTCGGACCGTCGCTGACTCAGTCAGCGGCGATGCTCAGAGCGCATCTTAGGTAATGTAGGTGGGCGCTGCTCCCTGCGCGGCCGCCGGTTCGACCGGCGGTCTGCCGCCTCCGCGAGGGGGTCTTGCGACCCCTTCCCTGGCGCCGCCGGGGCCTCGGGCGCCCCGGCCGTCGCCGCCGCGGAGATCTGCTCCCGGGCGTAGCGGGGGAACGCCGCCGCCCGAGGCTAGAAGCACAGGGGGTACTCAAGTGGGTGGCCATGCGATTCCGGTGGATGGACCATCGGTTCCCTCTGCATCCGCGGCGCCCTCGGCGACGCTGCGCGCGGTCCGGGGGGCCCAGGTGGAATGCGATGCCAACGGAGGTTGATCATAGGATGCGGGCCGCCAGTATTGGGCAGGTCTTCGATGGCGTGTGTGCCATCAGTGCGAGAGGAAGTGGCAGATTCTTACCATGCGCGAGTGCATTCAGAGATTCTTGCCTCGGGCGCAATTTGAATTTGAGCTCGTAGGGTTGATGCAAAGAAAGGCGATTTTCACGTGCAGTTTGGGTATCGGCTGTTGAATGGAGATAATCACTTTGACTGCCGATGGCGGCAGGAATGCGCGACTAAGCCGCGCGTGGCCTAGCACTTGATCGCGGATTTGACCACAAATGTTAGCATGTCCTTGACCATGAGTGGAATGCGCGGCTCAGCCGTCTGTCGCCCAGCAACGACATATCCATAAAGTCAGGGCGAGGCTATTCGCAACAAACATGATTATGATCTGGCGCGCAGTAGTATGAGCGGGGCGCATCAGTTTGCTTCGGCCCGCTTCAAGAGCTCTTCCAGGAGCAGGTGCCGTCGAGCCCTGTGCGCAGTGAAAGTGTTTCTATTCTGGTGGCGCCCGGGTGGCCAAGGTGCTTGGGGATGGCATGAGGTCTGGTATTTCCAAATGGGGGCTGTGTGTCGGACCGACTCATGCTGCCGTGGGGCGGGGGGTTAATCTGACACTTTCCTCGCCGTTTCCTGCCGTCGCCGCCGCTGCCGTTGGGCGCCGCCGTTGGCCGTCGTTGGTCATCGCGTGCGCCGCGGCTGATTTGGGCTGCGAGTAGGTGCGATAGGATCCGCGCGCGTTTCCCTTCGCGCGCGTAGATCACCATGTTTTATTCGTGCGCCTCTGCCCGACGGACACACATACTAGCCATGTCGAACTCAATGAGCCAGCCAACTGATGAGATGGACCCAGCGACGATCGTGAAACAAACTGACGCGAATCATAATGTCGGAATTTTCTGGTCCTGTGGCAACTATGTTCACACGAAAAGGCTGCGCGTCGTAGCTGTCATGAGTGTCGTAGTACATAGGTGGACTTGTGGGCCCATGCCTGCACGCAGAAAAAAAAAACAAAACACATTGCGGTTTTTGGCCAGCATTTGCGTTAACGCTTGGATGCCACAGCGCTTCTACATACTGGGTGGGGGGAGGAGATGGCAACCGTGAAGGCCGTGCGGCGTGATAATTTTCAGCTGCAGCACGATGAGTTTCCTGGAGCTACTATTCTTCGGTTATGTGCAGGGCTGCCTCGCCAAGCGGGGCAGCAGCAGGAGCACGGTCAACCGGCCGACGGATGCGCGAGAACCTCGACGACTTTTGTTGCGAAGAACGCGCGTGAGCAATTTCTGGTCCAAATTCAGGTGCTTGGTCAGATCTGGTGGCAGAGAGCATGCGACCACTCCATCGCAGAGTCAACCTTTAGATATTGGAGATTCTTCGGGGCGTCCATGGCGACTGTTTCACGGATGTGTTGTAGTATTGCCAGTGCGATCTGTGCGCGCAGTGCCAGGGTATAAACCTTTTCGGGGGTCGTGCGCCACCTGCGCACATGTGGGTCCCATCCAGCCATGGCCTCATCGCCGCATCGAGGATGACCAGCCCCGCGCAGGGCCGTCCCCTTGGGGCGCTACGAGAAACCGCAGCCGCAGGGGCAGCGTGCAGCCTGGTCGGGGAGGAAGGGGGGCGTTCAGGGAAGGGAGGATATGACTGGCAGCGACGCACATCTGGCCGAACTTACGCGCGTGGAATTCTGTGAAAGCTGCGGTTGTGGAGGCCGCAAGCGCTCGGACAGGACGGGCGTGCAAATAGTGGACAGCGCTCTGCTCCCAATGGGGGGGGGGGGGTGCCGGGTGTTCCATCCCCTTTCGCATGTGTACATGATGCGACGGCCATGGGCTTGATCATCGGTTGGAACAAGAAATGTGAGACATGGGCTTGGACGGCCTGCCAGGGAACCGTTTGTGTCACTTGAGCGGAGGGGGTGGTCTCTCCCTCCTTCCGCCGAGCTGCCGAGCACGTTCCACATGGAGGCTTCCACCAACCAGTTGAACTCTACCAGTGCGAGTTTGCGTTGCCTATAACCGAATTTTACGGCTATGGATAAATCACCGCGCGCAGCATCGGTAATGACATCGTTCGGAGTCAGGCGGTTTTCGTCAGCAGCTAAGTTAAACCCGAGGTCTAGCTCAATACGTGAGTGAAGATGTCTTAAGGGGTGTAGGCCGCAAAACAAACCGATGCGACGGGGGGGCGCCAGACGACACTACCAGTATCAATGCCTCGGGCAGGTATGGCAGTTCAACCTGACAAAGGAAAGAGCCTAGAAACGGAGTGGGATCAGGAGGGCCATAATAAGCCCAGGATGCATCAACGATGCTGCAACGCACGCCGCCGTCTCAAGTTTCCTCCTTTAAAGTCCCTGCAGGTATTCGTTTCCGCTGCTGCAAGCGCCCCCCGCTTCAACGATGAGCGCCTGGTGGGCACGCAGGCGAGATCACGTTATGTGAAGGATCCACCCTCCATGCGTCTAGCTAGAATGGTGAAGGTTTAGGATTTACAAGTTCAGGTACATGGCTGGCGATAGTCTTGTTTTGAACAAGATCTGCCCCCCCCCCCCCCCCCCCCCATCTGTGTAAGCGTTCAAGGCTGGGGTCCTAGCACTGGGGAGGTCCAGAACAATATATCAAATGTATAAAGGAGCCGTCGCCGTCGGTGCAGCTGCTTCACAACTTTGAAGTTCGGGTCATCAAATTGTAGGAAACTCCCAGCGTGATTTGAAAACGGCTGGGCTTCCATTCCAGCACTTGTTGAACACATAATAAGTAGTGTTGGCGCTGTTGTTGCGCGGCGCTAGGCGAGAGCAGTATTGGGAAACTTATCCGCCCTCCATCCTAGCAGTTCCTGCTGGATTTTGAAAGGAATGTGCGGGGCGCTAAGGCGGAAACCGCTTTTTAAAACCATCCGTCGCCCAATCCTGCAACTGGTAGATGTTTTTGAACCAGTGCGCGCGGCGTTAATGCGATAGCCGCATTTGAAAACCACCCGCCCTCAACGTTTGTAAGCTTTGGAGCTTCTTTCCTAGACAGTGCTTGCCCTTTGGGCTTTCTTCTTTGTGTTCGAAGGAACTGGCTCTGAAGGTCGGTTTGGCGGCTATGTCGTCGCCGTCGCCGCCCTCTCGCCGCCTCGTCGCCGCCCGTCGTCTGGGCCTGAGAGACGGTCTGGCGGCTATATAGTCGCTGTCGCCGCCTCGTCGCCGCTCGGCGTCTTGGCCTGTCTGTCGGTCTGGCCGCTATGTTGTCGCAGTCGCCGCCCCGTCGCCACCTCGTCGCCGCCCGTCGTCTGGACCTTGAATTTCGGTCTGGCGGTTATGTTGCACAGCATAAGTTGCACCACGTATATTGCACCATACATATTGAACCACATAGGTTGCAAACTATAGTGGTTACACAGCATGTATTGCACCACGTGAATAGCGTCACATACCTTGGACTGCATTTATTGTACGGTGTTGTTCGCATAACATGGATGGCACTAAACATATAGCACGCCATATACTGAAAAACATGTGTTGCACAACTTTGGTTGCACCACAGTAGCTGCGCCATACATGTTGCACCACATATATTGCAATATATATATATATACATATATATTGCACATCATGTATTCCACTACATAGTTTGCCCCATATAGATAACACCTCATGGATTGCTAAGAACACATTTTTCGGGGTCCACGCTGGCCAAAATCCTCTTCAGGATGTTCACCCTTAAGGAGGCCCAAAGCGAAACGCCTAGCCTGGCCTCTGGACATGTCTGGTTGTGCGACAGGGGGAAGTTGTTCAAAAGGCAGGGAGCTAGACGACGACGACGACGACGCGGGCGACAGCAACGCCGACAGCGAGGGCGACGGCCACGGCCACGGCCACGGCGACGGCGACAACTACGGCGATGGTGACGACGACGACGACGACGACGACGACGACGACGACGACGACGACGACGACGACGACGACGACGACGACGACGACGACGACGGCGGCGGCGGCGGCGGCGGCCGCGGCGGCGGCGGCGGCGGCGGCGACGACGACGACGACGAAGGCGACGACGACGGCGACGACGGCGACGACGGCGACGGCGGCGACGGCGACGACGACGCCTTGCCCAGCAGCCCGGCGCGGCCGCCGCTGCCTGCCGGCAGCCTGGCGAGCAGCCCCAGCGGCAGCAGCCCGGTGGGGGCGGGGTGGGGCCTTCCAGTCGGGAGCGTCCAAGAGGGGGATGGAGGACTAGGGGTGTGTTCATGGTTCGTATCGCTTGGCATCGCTCGGACGTGTGCATTCTTCCTCGGCGGGGATTATTAAGGACCATCCTGGATCATCGAGAACAAAACACGCACGAAACCGAAACTTGCACGGGAAATGGACGTCCGAGCGACGGCAAGATCGTGGCTGGAGCCATGACATTTTCTAGACATCATGGCCCCGCCTTTTTCTTTCGATGCGTTCCCTGGCCCTCCCTCTTCCGCGCACATGCCTCGGTGCCCCCTCTTCGTGCCGTTGAAGCATTTGGCCTCTCTGGGGGCGTTCTCGGGAGGCTTCGGTGCCCTTTGGAGCCGTCTTCGGATGCAATTGTTGGCCTCTCGGAGGCATGGTGGGTGCCATTCTGGTCCAACTTTGGCCAATCATGCGCTATCTTAGAGTAACTGGATCCATCTTGACACCACCATCAGCGGAACTGAACCCTGTAAATTGTCGCGGGAGGCCCACTCTAGACGCAGAGGGATTTGGAAGAAATGACCGCTAAACCACCTACGCCCGGAGGGCTGGTGGGATTTGGCATGCATGTGAATTATATTTAGTGCAGCTTGATTCGTTGAAATTCAGCCATTGAATCGTACATCTCATATCACGTGAGGAGTTGGAAGAGGAGAGGAGAGTGAGCGAGGGAGGAGGAGGAGGAGGAGGAACATGAGGTGGAGGTGAAGGAGGAGGAGGAGAGGAGGAGGAGGAGGAGGAGGAGGAGGAGGAGGAGGAGGAGGAGGAGGAGGAGGAGGAGGAGGAGGAGGAGGAGGAGGAGGAGGAGGAGGAGGAGGAGGAGGAGGAGGAGGGAGGAGGAGGAGGAGGAGGAGGAGGAGGAGGAGGAGGAGGAGGAGGAGGAGGAGGAAGGAGCGGGGTTGAGGAAGGAGGAGGATAGATCAGGGGGAGGAGGGTCGGAGCAGAGGCCGCGGGGTGCCCGTCAGTGCCATCTTGTCCTCCTCTCCTCCCTCCTCCCTCCTCCCTCCCTTTTCGTTCAAAGCCGACGCTGATCGAAGAAGATCGCTGCGCCCTTCTCCTCTTTCTCACCCCGCTCCTCGTCCCTCGCCCCCCTGTAAGATGGAGGAGGAGGAGGGATGGGGAGAGGGACCCTGGGATCCGACGTAGGGAGCATGTTGCAATCTCGTGAGACATCACGGCTGCAGCTATCGACCCAGTATTCCTGCGGCATTTCTCGAGCCCGAAGGCGGGGGAACAGCGTCCAGTGTGGAAAAGCTGCGACGCCCAGATCTCAGGGCAGGAGGTGAGGAAGCGGGAGGAGGAGGAGGAGGAGGGGGAAGGGGAGGAGGAGGAGGAGGAAGAGCAGGAGGAAGAGGAGGAGAGGGAGGAGGAGGAGGAGGAGGAGGGAGGAGGGAGGAGGATGAGGAGGAGGAGGAGGAGGAGGAAGAGGAGGAGGAGGAGAGGGAGGAGGAGGAGGAGGAGAAGTTCAGCGCACGGCGTCTGGGCCTCTTTCCCCCCGCCCCGCCGCGTGGCTGGGGCCGCCCAGGCGCCCGCCGGTGCCATCCCTTCCTCCTTCCCGTCCGCCCCCGCCGCCGGCCTCGGCAGCGCCCTGGCGGCGCAGGCCACGCGAGGCCTCACCGCAGGCCGCCCGCGTGCGCCGCCGCCGCCGCCGCCGCCCAGGGTCGGCCGCCGGTGGTTGTCGACGCCCGCGTCGTCGGTGCCCCACCTCGCGTCGTGCAGGAGTCACGGAGGAACGACCTCGGGCACTGCCGGTCTCCCGGGCCCTCGGCGGACCCTGGGACCGTGAAGTGCAGGAGGGAAAGAAACACACAGACACAATTAATCGCCGACCCCCAGGAGAATACAGGGAAATATGGGAAGTGGGGGGGAAGACAAAAACCAAGAAAATATGGAAAAATATAGGGAATCCTGTTATTTGTGTGCAGTTATTTGTGTGTTTGATGGAGGCCTGCTGCTTAAAAGGCGCCAGCCCTGCACCTACAGAGCAGGCCCGCACCTTCCAAGAAGCAGGGGGGTTTCTCAGAAGCCTTCCCCCTTCCCCTGGCCCCCCTCTGCTCTCCGCCAAAAGTTGGTGGAGAGTGTCGCCAACTTTTGCTTTGCCTCCTGACGCCTCGGGAGGCCTGCGGGGATATCCGTGGGACCTCCGTGGGACCTCTGGAGGCCTACGTCGGCGTCGGCGTTGCCGCCGCCGTCCTCGTCTGATGTTCGAAGTTGTTGGAGAGTTTAGCCTGCCTTCTGTCAGGAGGAACAAAAAACACACAGACACAATTAATCCTCGATTCCCCAGAAAATATGGGAACATATTGGAAGTGGGGGGGGAAGGCAGAAGCTCCGAAAATATAGGAAAATATGGGGGATCTTTTTGTTTGTGTGTATTTATTTGTGTGTCCTGGGGCCCCTGCCTTCCGTTTTGCCTCCAGACGCCTCGGGAGCCCCGCGGGGGCCTCCGTGGGATCTCCATACGGGGCCTCCTTGGAGGCCCACGTCCGAAGGCTCCCGGAGCGGAAGACGGCGTCATCGGCCGCCGCCGCCGTCGTCGTTCGCTTCGTCGTCGTTGTTACGATCCGCGGCGATCGTTACACGGCGGCCGTTGAAAGTAGGTTTTTTTAGATCCCCAGATCCCACTCTACTTTAGGCGCCTTGCTACTTCAACAATCGAGTGATTTTCTCTCTTCCCTCTTCAGGGGGCGGGCGGAGACCCAATCTACTCCCAACGCCTTCCTGCTTCATGTTCCCGTCACTTCTTCCGACCGGCGGGTATTGATCTAGTTGCTTTCCTTCGTCATTGCCTTGCGTGCGAGACGCTGCCAGCTGTCATCCTGACGCACGGATCAGCATGCGTGTCGTCGTCGTTGTCATCCGTTGCTTCTTCGCTGTCGCGGAGATGGGCCCGTTGAATCTTTGAATGGTGCGCGGTCTCAAGAGGTCGTGGCCACGGAGACAAACACCCGTATACAAGAAGCCGTTTCTTCTGTCGGGGTTGGGCGATATCGTCGAATGACCGCAGTTTGTATATATATATATATATATATATATATTTGCGAACGTCGGCTGTTTTAATGTTTGTTGAACTCGCCCTCGAACCGCATGGAGCGCGAGCGCTGCCAAGAAGGCGTCGGCCAGAGATTTCACTTGCCCTTTAGGTCGGGCCCGGGACCTGCGCGAAAGCGCCCGCCAGGCCTTGTTGGCGAATCGCGAGGGCCCGATCGGGCGGGGCCGATTTGGCCGACCGACCCCCTGAAAAGTTTATACGCAGGTTGTGTGTGACTGTTGCGTTCTCCGAGGGAAAACTTCTGGGCCCCCCCACGGGGGCCGGGGTGATTCTTCGACCCCTGTCCGCGCCATTGGCCGACCGTCCGTGCCATTCGTGGGCGCCGCGAATGCTTGGGGCTCAGCCTTCGGAAGGTTGCGAACGACTTCGACTCTGCCTTCTGGCCTTGCAGCACGCTTCGCAAGGCCCTTCCTTCGCCAAGGAGCGAGCGGTATTCACTGGCCCCGGTGGGGCGACCTCCACTGCCATTGGCATTGGAAGGCCCTGCTGAGGGGGGGCGCCGCGCTGTTTAAAACAAACGAGAAGTAGATGACCTTGCATGTTTCGCTGTCTCTTTTTAGAATTCAGAACGCGCGTATGGAAGGCGAGGTGCCCAACATAAACACATCCTCTTGCTCGTGCTCTGGCTGATGCTCCTACTGCCGTGATCATTAACGACAGTCCGCCTGTTCTGCCCCTTGGCCCCTTGGCCAGCAGAACCTTGGACCATACAGGTCAGATATTGCAGAGAGGAGCGCGTCGTGATCTTGGCGACCTTCCATCCATCGTTTCCCCAACCTGGTACGCCTTCTTCCGTTCAAGCGGTCTGCCGCTGCTTCATATTGTTCTTCGTTCGCTCGCTCGCCGGGCGCACCGACCGCGTCGGGCTGCTGGTGCACCCGACGCTGCCAGTGCAGCCTGAGTCCGCCCGAGAGAGTGAGAGAAAGAGAGAGACCGACAGAGAGAGGCCCAAACTGGTGTCCAGGCCGCGGTAACGAATTGCAGGGGCCTGGGGAGGTGGGGAGGTGCGAAACCCTCCCGTAGGCAACCCATTACCACACGATGGCGCCCAGCTTCATCACGCACTGGAGAAGCGTCCAAGTATACGTCATTTGATGCGGGGAGGGCATGCTTTCGACGAGGCCATTGAGAACTTTGCGGGTTTTGTTGCCGACGGTATGCGGGTGTCAGGTGTCTGATCTAAGCTCCTGGCGAAAGAACTAGGGAACGAGAAGTGTGCACGCCCCGTGGCGGCGTCGCATCCCCGGCGCAGCGGCCTCGACTGTCGCTACCCGCATCGATCCTGGCGGCCCCCCCCCCTTTGTCGTCCTCTACGTCGCGTTTTTCCTGGACGTCCTGGAAAGCCAGGGCAGGCGCACCTCTCAAGATGATACAGTCGGGGCCCTGAAGAAGGAACCCTTTTGGTTGGGGAGGGGCTCCGCGTTCCTTAAGTGTTTCACAGCTTGCCTCAGGTTTTCCTTATGTTTTCGATCGGAAATCGAAGTTTAACTTATGGAAAAAAGGGGCCTCGTTCCTTATTTTGGGTTCCTTAGGTCAAGGCCCCGACTGTACCGCATTTGGAGGCTTCGGTGCGGCTGCCAACTCGCTCCGCCCCCCGTGCACAGCTGCAGCGTCAGCTGCAGCACAGGCAGGCCTCCCACTCGCCATCGGGTTTGGGGCGGCCGTGCGGACCACGCCCCCCGCGGTGCCCTCTTCGGCCGTGCTCCCTGGCCACTGTCCATCAAGGCACCGGAGCCTGGCATCGCTCGGGCGTGTGCTTTTCTTCTCGGCGAGGGCCATCGAGGAGCATCCTTGACCATTCGGCGAAGAAACCACGCACCAAACCGAAAAAAACACAGGGAATGGACGTCCGAGCGATGGCCAGGAAGAGCATTACGTCAGCAGGCTTTCAGTCAGACGCGGTTGCTACTCTTCCGGGAACAGACTTTGGCCTGCCGTGCCGCGGGACATGCCCCCATGTTTCAGTTCTGTGCGGGGTTCTCACAGCCGCAGCATCGGCTGAAGGCTACGAGCCCTGGTCATCTTCGGACACTCCGCAGACCCGCGCCGTCGCCTCATCCCTCCTCCCTTGTCTCTCTTCTCTCCCCGTCGTCCTCCCTCTGCCCTCCTCGTTCCCCCCCTCCCGCGCGACGAGGAAGGAGGAGGAGGAGGAGGAGGAGGAGGAGGAGGAGGAGGAGGAGGAGGAGGAGGAGGAGGAGGAGGAGGACTTGTTTTGCCATCAACGGCACCATGCAGCCCACATACCCCTCAAGCCGGTGGACGAGACCCGCAAGGGGAGAACTATTGAGGCTTAGTCCGAAGAGTCCTCATCCAAGGCGTGCGCACAGAGTAGGGGACCTTTGTCCTCCTCTCGACGAAGGGCGACAGCCACCATCCGAAGATGCGGCGCGTCCGTGACAGAAGCCTTCGAGCCACCTTGCCCCGACAGACAGGAATCGACCTCCTACCTTCAATATCGAGATTGTGGAGACTCAGAGGCGGTTGGTCCCCAGGCTCTACCACATATTGATGTAACTTCTGAGCCAGCGGTTTGTGCAGAGTTCCGGCACTGTCAGCCTCTGTAGACAACTGGCGCACCTTCTCATGCTGCTCCAGACGGTGTTTTTGAGCAGACTCGTAGGCAGTGACAGCTTTGGCGAGGTTGGACTCCAAGGCTCGCATGTCGTGGAAAAGGCGGCCGACGTGCTGCTGAAGCGGCGGCTCTTGGCGTAGATCGGCCATGACCGCTTGCTTGGATTCCGGCCGAGATTGGTATCGCTGCAGTCCTGCTTCATCGCCCATGGAACGAGGAGACGAGATGCTAGCAGAGAGCGCCGCGATCTGATCCGCCCCATCCGGACCAACACGTCCAACGAGCGCTTGCCGACTTCCGACTTGACCACACCCCGCTTCACCACTATACGTGGGCTGGCGAGGGAAATCAGCCAAGGGATTTGGCCGAACACGTGGAGCACCGCCATGCGAGACAGCAGGAGCAGGAACACGTGACTGGCCGTTGCACAACCACTGACCTGGCGGGGAAGGTGGCCCTTGAATCCAAACCCCACTCGGCGGAGGCGGTGATTAATATCAGGTTCCAGACCTCGGCTGCCAGCAACTCTTGCACTACATCCAATAGGCTTTGTTTTCCTGCAGCCGCAGTGTGAGCAACTCCATCGACCCCCTCCGCCGCCGCGTGGAGAGGAATCCCCTGGACCACTGCCCTGCTGCGACTGGTGCATACCGTTGCACCCACGGCTCGCGACGACATTGCTGATGAGGAGGCGGCGGCGGCAGCGGCACCATGGTTGCGGAATATTGGGTCGTTGGGAATAGAGGTGGGAGAAGCTCCCGAGTTGCTCTGGCTCTCACGAGGAGGAGGAGGAGGAGGAGGAGGAGGAGGAGGAGGAGGAGGAGGAGGAGGAGGAGGAGGAGGAGGAGGGAGGAGGAGGAGGAGGAGGAGGGAGGAGGAGGGAGGAGGAGGAGGAGGAGGAGGAGGAGGAGGAGGAGGAGGAGGAGGAGGAGGAGGAGGAGGAGGAGGAGGGAGGAGGAGGAGGAGGAGGAGGAGGAGGAGGAGGAGGAGGATAATAATAATAGTACTAATAAGACGGATAATGCTAATACTAAGAAGAAGAAGACGAATACTAATAAGAAGAGGAGGAGGAGAAGGGGGTGGAGGAGGAGGAGGAGGAGGAGGAGGAGGAGGAAGAAGACAAGAGCAGTAGGATGAGCACGAGGACGCACTTCCTACCTCAGGCGGCGGCCTGTGCGGTGGCTCTGGCGGCCTGGGTGCTGGCGGCGGCCTGGGCGCCAGCACTGGCGGCCTGGGCGCTAGCGGCGGCCTGAACGCCGGTGCCGGCGGCTTGGGCGGTGGCGGCTTGGGCGCTAGCGGCCTGGGCGCTGGCGGTGGCCTTGGCGCTGCTGGCGGTGGCCTAGGCGCGCTGCGTCGGGCCCAACGTCGACGACGACGACGAAAACGACGACGACGACGATGACGACGACGACGACGACGGTGGCGGCGGCGGCGACGATGACGACGAGGTCGACTGCGGGGACGGCGGCGAGGAGTAGGAGGAGGACGACGAAAATGACGATGACAAGGAGGATGACGACGCGTTGGAAGATGGGCCCAAGAGGAGGATGACAAGGAGGATGAGGACGCGACGAATATGACGACGACAAGGAGGACGACGAATATGACGATGACAAGGAGGATGACGACGAATATGACGATGACAAGGAGGATGATGACGATGACAGATTTGACACGAGTGTGGGCCCAGTTTTCTTGTCTTGCCACGCGCACGTAGAGGCGGGCCGCGGCCGCAAGAGGCGAGACAGTTCAAGCTTTGGACTGCGTGCAGTGTGAAAATCGTGGAGCGGTGAGTAAAAAATGGCTCGGTAGTGGCGGGCCGTCGGTGCGGGTGCGGCCGCCGCGCGAAGGTCGGGGTCGAAGATGGTCGAGGGTTCTGCCTGCGGGGTGGATGAGTTGAAGTGGGGCACAGATCTTCGTAAAGTCAAAGGGAAGAGAGAGAGAGAGAGAGAGAGAGAGAAAGCGAGAGAACGAGCGAGATAGAGAGAGAGAGAGAGAGAGAGTGAGAGAGAGAGAGAGAGAGTGAGAGAAAGAGAGAGAGAGAGAGAGACACCTGTATGCACATATATATATATATATATATCCATTTACAGGTATAGAGACAGGCTGTCCCTATATAGAGAGGCTATGTTTCTCTCTGTCACGCTGCGTGACAGAGAGAACATAGCGAGGCAGGGAAAGAGAGAGAGGGAACGAGAGGGAGAGACACCGCCCGTCGGACGACGTTCGGGAACGTCCTAGGATCGAGGAAGACAGGAGGGTGAGGAGGGTGATTGGGATGAAGAGGAGGGCGAGGAGGGGGAAGGGGGGAGGAGGGGGAGGAGGACGAGACGATGACGACAACAATGATGATAGTCATGATGACGGTGACGGCAACGAGAATTACGATGGTGGTGGTGTTGAGGATGCTGCTGATGATGATGTTGATGATCATCATCATCATATGATGATGATTATGATGATGATGTGCAGGGGATTGTTGTTGATGGTGATGGTGGTACTGAAGTTGGTGATGCAGTGGTGATAGTAGTGATAGTGGTGACGATGAAGGTGGTGATGATGGCGCAAAAGATAACAATGTAAAGGAGGAGAAGTTGGAGGAAAAGGAAGAGGACGACAAGGGCGGGTCCAAGAGGAGGATGGACCAGAGTAAGCGCAATATGCATCAACGATGCTGCCACAGACCCTCCCGTCCCAAGGCCCCCCTCTCAGTCAGTTATTGCACGTATTGCTCACTGTGCGAAGCGCCCAAGTTGAGAAGCGAGCGCTCCATGCAATTTAGTGCGAGTGCCGTTGAGAAGGGCATCGCCTTTCATTCTTCTGTTTGTAATGAGTGCGGCAGGGTGGATGACAGAGTTCGAGGAGGTGCCAAGCGGCAGTCCCGCTTTGATAACAAGCGCCCTGCACTGTTGTTTATGGCTGTCCAGGCAAGAGCCCCACTTTGAGAAGGAACTGTTCTCCATCCGCGTAATTGTTGTACACGTTTGATCATGTGGTGCTACTTCGTTCAATAGGTTTCAGGTGAGCCCGAGTTGTAACACGAACCAGTTTGCATCCGTGTAACTGTTGGAAGTTGTAAGGCGGTTGTGCTCGGCGTTAATGCGAATCGCATATTTTGACCAGGTGTCGGCCATCCATCCATGTAACGTTTGGAAGTTTCAAAACGAATTGGCGCGGCGTTGGTATCACCACATACAAACACAGCCGACGCTACATCCGTGTAATTATCAGTTTCAATGTCGGAAATTTCCAGCTTCGGGATCTTACAGTGAACGGGCGTCTCAAACGGAAAACCTGGCTCGGCCTTCGGGGTCGTCTGGTGATGTGACAATGACAGGCGTGAATTATTCATCAGGAGGAGCGGGAGAAGGATGGAGGGTAGGGGGACGAGGGGGAGGGAGGAGGGAGAAGCGAAATGGGGGGAGGGAGGGAGGAGGAGGGAGGAGGGAAGAGGATTTTGGATTGCGACGCCGATGCAAGGAGGGAGGAGGGAGGGGGAGCGAGCGAGCGCGAGACGCGTCTAAGTTGCCCCAGCGCGCCGTGCGGGAGAGGACTGGCCCCGCTTGCCTGCACACCAACCGAGCTTCCGTGAGAGGCCCGCACGTGGTGCCGACCAGTGAGGAAGGACTTACATGGGCCTGCGTAAAGGTTCGCCCACTCCTTCCACTGCGGTGCTCCTGGGCACGATGCAGTGGGATGTCGAAAGATACACACGAACACGATGCCACCGTTTGTGAACGCAAAATTGTGGTGGTTTCAACACGCGCGCCAACATACTGTCATGACGTATTTGAGGACAGCAGCGCCTGACCACCACCGTGACTGTGAGCACCCAAGTGCCCGCGGGCACCACAACGCTTGTGAGCAACAAGGCGTATGACCAGGAAGTCATGTACTAAACATTCCCTTTCAATTTGGTTGAGCTGGTTTCGATCCTAGTTCGAATCTATTTTGCGATGTATACCCACATTGCCGACATGTCTATCGTTCCGAGCAAAATTGGGACCTGGTTCGGGCTTGATGTTCGATGTAGTCCCGCACGGAAAGCATGCTTTTTGTTTTGTTTCGAACCGACGCCGAACCTGTTTCGAATTTGTTCTCACAACAATTCCATGGTTATCGGAAATCCTTTATTGTTTCGAACCGATGTTCGAACCTGGTTTGAATTTGTTGGAAGCTCCACGTGGTTCGCCGCTTTCGGACCGCCATCCCGTTTAGCCTCACGAGAGTTTCATTCGGGGTGCAATCGGCAACACCCCAACATACTTATACTAGATGTGCGTCGCCCCCCCAGGGGCGACGCGCGCACCGAGAAATCTTATAGTATATGCGTCGTGGCGGGCGCTTTCTGGCCACACCGCTCGGGAAACGATATACTACAAGATGGGTATACTATATGTTCGGGTCGGACGCGCGCCTCCAAGAAGGACATATAGTACTAGTCTGTCCATGTGCGTCCCATGCAAGCCTCAGGCTGCCCGCCCCCCCGCTGGATCAGCTCCGCTCCCGCCGCGCTGCGCCAGGCTCTCCGCGCGCCTGCGGGGCGCGCCGGGCCCGCGCTGCGCCGGCCCGTCGAGCATCGGGGGAGTGTTTAGCGCGACGCAGTGCACTGCTTTGATTTTTGGCGCAGCTTATCGGGCAGGGCTGTGGCGATCTCGGCCGCGTGTGGGGGCCGCGCGGCGCTTCTCTCAGCTCGGCATCGGCCGCCGTGGCCAGTGAGCGAAACTCGCGTCAGCAAGTTGAACAACTATGCCCACTGCCGGCGCGGTCGTGTATCGCCCGGAGGACGGTCTGAGAACGCCCGGGGCTCTTGCGTCTTCGACGCGCAGGTCGTCGGCCGCGGCCGGGACGCGCCCAGCCGTTCGTGGAGGCCGCGCCGCGCTTCTCCGCTCGACGTCAGTCGGCGCGGCATTGAACCAAATTGAACTCAGCCATGCGAAATAGAACCAACGCGTCCACTGACGGCACAATCTGATGTCGCAACGATCTCGCATCGCCCGTGGGCGCGATTTTGATTTTCGCTTTGCCGCCGCGGTGGCCTAAGGCGCGGTGCAGCAGGGCGTCGAAAGACGCGCCGCGCTGCGGCTTCAACGGGCGTGCCAACGCACTGCCAGCACTTACTTTTGAACACAGCAGCGCCAGAGCACCGCCGCGACTGCGAGCGCCCAAGTGCCCGCGGGCGCCGCCGAGCCTGCGAGCATCGGGTTGCATGGGCCTGCCATGCAAGGACAACCCGCCCGAAGCGCCACCTTTCCATTGTTTCGAGCGGATCCCGAGCCTTTTCCGAGCTTGTTTTCCAATGGAGTCCCGCGCGAAACGCAAGCGCTTTCATCGCTCCGAACCAAGTTCGGGCGTGGTTCGAAGTTGATATTCGAAGGAGTCCCGCGTTTTTGTTGTTGTTTTGTTTTATTTTAAAATACATATATCTATATATCGTTTTGAACCGACAACGAACCCTGTTATATTTTTTTAATCCGAGCATGTCCCGCGCGAAATGCCAGTGATTCTATTTCGTCGAACCGACCCATGTTGTTTCGAGCCGCATTTCGAACCTTGGTTCGAACCAAGATTTTTGCGGGGCTCCATTCGGCGCGCCGTTTTCGCACCGCCACCCCGTCTAGCTCTGCGCAACTTCCTCGGCGGCGCAGGCCCCGGACTGACCGCCCAAACCATCCCAACCCAACCCGAAGGCTTCAATTTGCCCTCCATTTCCAGTGGGGGGGGGTCGGGGAACATCGAAAAAACACACATGGAACCCGTACCGCCCCAAACCCGAAATTCGGGTCTTCGGGTTGGGTTAGGGTGGTCTGGTAGGTAATCAAGAATGTTCGTTTTGTTTTCTTGCGCAATTGGTCGGCCAGGGTCGGGGCGCGCCCGGCCATTTGCAGAGGCCGCGCCGCGCTGCTCTGCTCGGCGCCAGCCAGCGCGGCTGCTGGGCGAGATTCACGTCAGCAATTTGAGCCCCGATGTTCGCCGAGAGCACGGTCCGACATTGCCAAGAGGACGGTCCGATATATATATATATATATATATATATATATATATATACATAGGATTGTTTTGTTATTCTCGCGCAGTTCGTCGGCCAGGTTTGGGGCGCGCAAGGCCGCGCGCGGGGGCCCCGCCGCGAGTCTCTGCCGGGCATCGGTCGGCGTGGCAACTCAGCGAAAGTCGCGTCAGCAACTTCTGCCAATGCGTCGACCGACAGTCTTATACTGCCAGTAGCACGGCCTGAGATTACCCAGCGGATGTTTTTGGTTGTCTTGCGCAGTTCGTCGGGCAGGGCTGGGGCGCGCTCGGCCATTTGTAGAGGCCGCGCCGCGCTTCTCAGCCCGACGTCAGCTGGCACGGCTACTGAAGGAAACTCAATTCAGCAACTTGAGCCTAGATGTCCACTGACAGCACCGACTGATATTGCCACGAGGGCGGCTCATGTTGCCCGTGGGTGCGACTAAAGTTTCGCCAAATGTTGTCACCGCGGCGCTCCTGGGCACGATGCAGTGGGATGTCGAAAGATGCAGACGAATGCGAGACTCCCCTGTGTGAGCGCCACGTTGACGCTGGAACACCACCGTGACTGTGAGCACCCAGTTGCACGCGGGCACTACAGCGCTAGTGAGCAACGTGACGTATGAATTTGATGTGCGAGGAAATCTCGGACGAATCGCACACTTTCTAATGTTCCAGGCCGACTCCGAGCCTGGTTCGATACTGTTTTCCAATGAAGTCCCGCGCGAAACGCCAACATGTCCGTTTTTCAAACCAAGTTCGGGCTTGGTTTGAATTTTATGTTCGAAACATCCAGTCCGAAATGATTTCTAAATTGTCCTCGAACCCAGACCGAGCCTGGCTTGAATTTGGTTTTGAGGAAACCTCGCACGAAACGACCAGAATTCTATGTTTTGAATAGACTTCGATTGTTTCGAACATATTGTCAGATGTGGTTCGAATTTGCCGAGAGCAATTCCAATCTTGCTGCGGCTGTCAGCTGCGCCCTACCAGAGAACCGGCACACTGCAGGCGGAGTGACCCCCTTCCGTCCTGCGGCTGACGTTTTGATTCGTACTGATCAGCGGGTTGACTCAGGTTGCCCATTGCCAGCGCAGCAATTTGTTTCTGGCGGACCCTTTCCCAATCTTTCTGCGGCTGTCAGCTGCACCCTACCAGAGCACACGGCACTCTCCGACGCTCCCACGTTTTCCCCACTTTGCTTTTGGCACAGAGCGGCAGCTGGACACCCTTTCGGTGCCGCTCCCAGGCCATTCACAAACTTATTTCAGTGGGCTGCCGGTCTCAAGCGACGTGACCCCCCTCCGCACAGCACTGGCTCCTGACGTGCCCGCGCTGGTTCCCTTCGTGCTGTTGGCCTCAGGCGGCGCCCCCCCCGCCCTGACTCGCATACGCGGCATGCAAAGACGACCAATGCGTTTCGGTTAACACGACGCTTTACTACAAGTTCCGGCTCCTCGGCAAAGGGCTTCGTCTTCGGCGTGGCTTGAGCCTGAGCTGCGGCGCGTTTCCCCCTCTCCGCCGTGCTTTCTTTGTCTCTTTTCGTTGGTCTTCTCGTACTCGGCCGCCTCTTCGTTTCGCCTGCCTTTGTCTCCGCTTTGCAGCTTTCGCCACCCTGGTGGCCCTTCTCCGCGTCGCGCTTGCGACAGCATGGCTTCCGTTACTCTTTCGACTTTATCTGACGGCGCGCGGCTGACCGCGTCGTTCGCGAACAAAAAGTATCCCCACCAACCCATCCAGAAACGATGCCGAGGGACCTGAGGTGATCAGGGAAGTGGGGTGGCACGCAGAAGAACACAGGTCGGGGGAAACCCTCATATACCTCAAGAGGGGGAGGGTGGAGGAGAAACCGTCGTCGTCAGAGGAGAAGGGGGGAAAAGAAAAGGAGGAGGACGAGGAGGAGGTGGAGTAGGGCGAGGACGAGGAGAACGAGAAGAAGGAAAAGGAGGGAAAAGGATGGATAATTTGATAGTTGGGTGCCTCTGGGACCCTCTTGAGGCCTCGTATGGTTTTTTTTTTGGGGGCGCCTCTTGGAGGCCCTTCTGGGCCGTCTGAGCGCCTCTTGGGTCCCTCTTGGGCCGCTCTTGGGAGCTTCAGGGGCGCTCTTGGGGCCATTTTCAAGGACATCGATCCAAAAAGAGAGGAACTGCAAGTAGCTTCTCCCTTCGGGAGTACCAAGATTCGCCTCCTGGACCCCTCTTGGAGAGCTCTTGAGGCGCCCTTGGGGCCATCTTGGGGCTCTCTTGGGCCTCTCCTGGGACTCTTGGGCCATTCTGAAACCATTTTGAGGCCTCGGGTGGCCATCGGAAGCGAACAGGCGAACAACGCAAACATCCGTGATTTTCATCAGGTGCTTGTAAGATTGTGGCTTCTTGGGGGCCCTGGCCGAAAAGTCGGACTGCAAACCTCCTCGTGGCGGCCAGGGGTAACTTGATGCTGGCAGGATGTGTCGACGGCCGTCTTTCCCCAGAGGCGGCGGAGGGCATCAAGGCCAAGGAGGTAGAGGGGGCTTCCAGCAGACGCAAGTGTGCCGTGACGGCGGTCCGTGGCAGCCGACCCAGGGAGTGTAGGCCTAGTGCCCTGACTTTATAGTCCTCGCCGCATCGGGGGGTGCGGTCACGAATCCTACTGGGAAGGCTGTCGTTGGGTGCATCCTGATCGGCACCCCTCGCGGACTTGAGTTCCGCGAGCAAGGGAAGGCTTGTGAGGGGTGTCTGGCCTCCCTGGCAGTGCTCCCGAGTACTGCCACGCACAAAATCGCCCTGCGGCGGATGGCTAAGCCAACCGCCGGGAGTGATCATTTTGACCTTTGCAACTCCTTTTCCGCTTCTTGGGGGCCTCCTTGGGGTCTCGGGGGCGTCTTGGAGCCGTCTTGGAAATCTCTTGGGGCCTCTCGGGGCATCTTGAGCCGCTTTGAGGTCATCTTGGGTTCTTTGAGGCCCTCCTGGAGACATCTTGGTGTGCCGCACACTCCAGTTCCCATGTTTTTGTTCGTGTGTGTGTGTGTGTGTGGGGGGGGCACTTTCTAGATTTTGAGTCTTCTTCGGAAAGATCGAAAACCATGCCGTGGCATGGCACTGGAAATAATGACGCCAGCGCTGCAGCGGGAGCACGATTCGGAAGCGCGGAAATGAGGCCAGCGCTGCAGCGGGAACACGATTCGGAACGAGCGGAAGCGCGGAAATGAGGCCAGCGCTGCAGCGGGAGCAAGATTCGGAACGAGTGGAAGCCCGAAAATGAGACCAGCGCTTCAGCGAGAGCAACATTTTGGAAAAAAGTACGCGAAACCCCAGCTCCCAGGAGGGAGGCAGAGGGAGGAGGAGGGAGGAGGAGGAGGAGGAGGAGGAGAGGAGGAGGAGGAGGGAGGAGGAGGAGGAGGAGGGAGGAGGAGGAGGAGAGGAGGAGGAGGAGGAGGAGGAGGAGGAGGAGGAGGAGGAGAAGGAGGAGGAGGAGGAGGAGGAGGAGGAGGAGGAGGAGGAAGCATTTCTCTGCGCTGCCCGGCGGGCGCCCCGAAAAGGCGGCGGCCTGGGCGGCCTTGGTGCGGCGGGGCTCGGGCTGCCCGGGGTCGCCCGGGGAGGGGAGGTTGGCCTTAGGTGCAGCAGGAACCATCATCATCATCATCATCATCATCATCATCATCATCATCATCATCATCATCATCATCATCATCATCATCATCATCATCATCATCATCATCATCATCATCATCATCATCATCATCTTCATCTTCATCTTCATCTTCATCTTCATCTTCATCTTCATCTTCATCTTCATCTCCATCTTCATCTTCATCTTCATCTTCATTTTCATCTTCATCTTCATCTTCATCTTCATCTTCATCTTCATCTTCATCGTCATCTTCATCCTTCATCTTCATCTTCATCTTCATCTTCATCTTCATCTTCATCTTCATCTTCATCTCATCTTCATCTTCATCTTCATCCTCATCCTCATCCTCATCCTCATCCTCATCCTCATCCTCATCCTCATCCTCATCCTCATCCTCATCCTCATCCTCATCCTCATCCTCATCCTCATCCTCATCCTCATCTTCATCTTCATCTTCATCTTCATCTCCATCTCCATATTCATATTCATATTATCTTCATATTTATATTCATACTCATCTTCATCTCCATCTTTATCTTCATCTTCATCTCCGTCTTCATCATCTTCATTGTCATCTTCACCTTCATCTTCACCTTCATCTTCATCTGCATCAGCATCATCATCATCGTCATCCTCATCGTCTTCATCGTCCTCTTCATCATAGCCATTAACAGCAGCATCATCATCATCATCAACGTCATCATCATCATCATCATCATCCTCATCCTCATCATCATCATCATCATCATCATCATCATCATCATTATTGTCATCATCAGCATCAACAACACTTTTCCCATCACAATGACCATCACAATCGCCATAAACACCATCATCAACATCATCGTCATCATCATCACCAACCTTATCAGCACTCTCATCCTTGTCATCATCGCAATCACCATCACCATCATCACCACACTCATCCTCATCACCACTTTCATCACGACCACAATCAGCATCACCATCATCGCCATCATCAGCATCACCATTGCATCGTCAAATTCATCATCATCATCGTCATCATCATTATTATCATCACCATCATCATCACCATCACCATCACCATTGTCCTTGTCATCACCAGCACCGCATCATCATCACTGTCACCATCATCATCACCTTCAGCATCTGCACCAGCACCAGCATCAGCATCATCAGCATCAGCATCAGCATCAGCAGCATCAGCATCAGCATCAGCATCAGCATCAGCATCAGCATCAGCATCAGCAGCATCAGCATTTGCACCAGTATCAGCATCAGCATCAGCATTATCTTCATCACCATCACCACCATCATCACCATCATCATCACCATCATCATCATCATCATCATCATCATCATCATCATCATCATCATCATCATCATCATCATCATCATCATCATCATCATCATCATCATCATCATCATCATTAGCAACACCATCGGCATACTCACCGCCATCGTCATCATTATCGTCATCATCGCCGCCAGCAGCAAGAGCAGCATTATCGTCACGATCATAACCACCATCCCACCATCGTCACCCATTCATCGACACATCATCAGCATTGGAGGCAGGCGGATGGGGGGAAGAGAAGGAACGGAGGGTGGGCCGACAAGAGAATGGAGAGAGGGAGGGGACGGGGGCAGCGTGGGGAGAGGATTCCGCCTGTGGGCGCCGAACATGGAAAAGGATGAAAGGATGCACACCCTGAGTCGGGGGGTCCTGTATCTTGTTCAAGAGGCTTGGCTTAGGCCATTCCGCCGACCCCCAGAAGAGGATACGTGCGGCTTCCAACTCCGTTTGCAGCTTCTCGTCGTGCTGCTTGAGTGTAGTTGTTGTTGATGCGTCCTCCTCTTCCTCCGCGTCTGTTGCAGGGGCTTCTTGGGGGCCTCTTGGAGGCCCAGGGGGCGGCCTCTTGGAGCCTTTTCATGATAAGTGGGGCCTTCTTGGGGTCTCTCTCTTAGGCTCGCTTGGGGCCCGTCTTCGGGGCCTCGTGGGCCGTCTCAGGGCCCTCTTGGGCAGTCGCTGGGCCATCTTGGGGGCCTCTTGGGCTGTCTTGGGCCGATCTGTGTTTTTCGGAAGCCCACAAAGGCGGGAACGCGAAAACTAATGCAAAGGCCTTACAGCCGGTGTCGCCGACGCAGAAGGACGACGGCGATGACGACGACCAGAATGACGACGACAATGACGATCTGATGACCCTGCCACAAGCTCGGGGCATGGGGCGGGCGGAGGGAGGAGGATGAGGAGGAGGAGTAGGAGGAGGAGGCGGAGGAAAAGGAGGCTGAGGAGGAGGTGAGGGGGAAGGGGAGGGGAAGGAAGAGGAGGAGGAGGAGGAGGAGAAAGAGGAGCAGGAGGAGAAGGAGGAGGAGGAGGAGGAGGAGGAGGAGGAGGAGGAGGAGGAAGAAGAAGAGCAGGAGGAGGAGGAGGAGGAGGAGAAGGAGAAGAAAAAAGAGAAAGAGGAGGAGAAGAAGGAGAAAGAGGAGGAGAAGGAGGAGGAGGAGGAAGAGGAGGAGAAAGAGGCGAAAGAGGAGGACGAGGAGGAGGAAGGCCGAGTGTCTCATCGGGGGCGGGCGTCTGGCAGGCGACAGGGCCGGGGTCGGGCCCCCGGGGCCCCGGGGCCAGGGCCGGGGCTGAGGCCGTGGCCCAGGGCCGGGGCCGCGGCTGGGGCCGCAACGCGGACGTTTTTTGGCGCGGGATGGTCGTCCGCCAGAGTATCTTCGCGCAGCATGGCCTTCGTGTGACGGCGGCCGCGGGGGCGGATATCTGCGATATCCCTGTGCGCCTCTATTGTTCTGCTAGGCCGCTGTTTAGTGCAGCGCGCTGACGAGAGGCGCGCACTGATATCTCTATTGTGTCTTGCAGCGGGGCATCTTATGATACTGGCTATTGCATTGATGACCCAGCCCCCTTGGCGCCAGGTTCACTCAATATTCACGCATCGAGAGTTCGAGGAAGATGCATTCTTATGTCGTTCGAGCGTCAACATGATCGACTAAACTGGCAGTGCGAGTGGCTGGGTTGATGTTGTGCCGCACTATGTTCAGCAGCAGCGCCATGAGGAGGAACCGAGTGGTTTGAGCACTTGGACAAGGCAAGCGCTCTGACCAAGAACGAACTTCCGTTACATATATATATATATATGTGTATATATACATATATATATATATATATGAGGAACGGCTTCGAGCAGTCGCAGGGCGCGGAGCCTTCGGCGGCCCGCCCCCGCAGGAATGCGATCCAGGGCACGCTCGCACGTCTTCTACGACACATGCGCGCCACCAGTGTCCAGGCCATGGAGGACGGAACCTCACTGCCTGGCTCATCCGTTACAAGAACATTGGGGCAAGGTTTGCGGCCCCGCGGAGCAGGGCGACACCTGGTTGAAACACTGGTTCCACTTGGCGCGGGCGGCCGGGGCCAAGAACTCCAACGCCACCACGAGTCAGCGGCGGATGCGTCGACGAGGAATCGCGCGGGCTTCCCGGCTCTCTGGCAAGGGCCGCCCATGGGCAGAGCTTGCGCGAACGCATAACTTGCGTATAGGGTATCTTTGGAGCGTGGCATTTGCCAAGGGCGCCAGCTGTGTCAGGCCACGCGAAGCACTTAGGCTTTGTAGTAGTGCTGGGCAGCAGCGACTTCTCTTGGGATGGTCTTCGAGGTAAGGTTATGCGCCACCTAAAGGAATGGCCATGGCCAGAACTCGGGCTGCCGACGGCAATCGGGATTTACAAATACGCATGGCAGTCTTTTGAAGTACAACCCCCGCAGTTGATGCAGTCGCCTGCTGAGGTTCTGGGATTGGAGGCGCTGGCAGTCAGACGAATCGCACCTGGACCAGGATGCTGGCGTCTGCCACGGAGTCTCCACAATGGCCCGCAGTTCGGCACCCCTGTCCGTCTCCGACCCATGCGCGTGACCTCCAAGGCGGCCATGGCAAGAATGTGTCGACATTAAAAGGGAGGGCAGGTGGCATTGTTTTGGGGCGCCTCTGGCGGAAGTGGGAGACTTGCCGCTCGTACACGAATTTCTTACTGAGGCCGGTGTGTTGGCGGGTGGCATCAGAAGCGCATCCCAAAAACTTGGGCAGAACCGACGCGGAGGCAGAGCAGGACGGCCTGACGAGTCTTCGAGCACGGGAGGCGCTCACCAGTGTGGGCGTGGGCCTGCTCCTCTTCCGAGCGCAAGCTCCGCAGCGGACTGCAGCGCTGGCTGGCCACGGAGATGCTCGCAAGGACGGGCTTCAGCGGCGATCAGAGCTTCCGACGGCGACTGCGACGGTGGACGTTGCCTGGCATACGCTGGCGCGCAGCACGCCGAGGCAGCGTCGATGTCCAGCGCGCGTATCGACTGGTAACCCCTCGCATCGCCGCGGCGGTCTTCGGCCCTTTCTTCAATGTCTGGGCTACGGACCGCCGCACGCGGGGCACCGGGGATGGTTCTTGCGCGCGTCGGTTGGACTGCGCCGGCTCGGGCACTGACCATATTCAACACTACCTTGGCTGCGGGTAGACTCCTCGCGACGTAATGACATTTCCGCATGGTGTTTTGCAGGCCCGCTCACAATGCGCGGCTGCGCCAACTGGCAGCCAGCATGTATGTAGCGCACAGAGCGGTCAATCATGTGCGTTCGCTTCCCAATCGCCCTTCAGAGAATTATGCGAATCATCTAATTTATTAGACACTGCATGAGGACGCCTAGGGCGATCTCAGGCTTCAGAAAGCGCTCCTGTCAGCCAGCGCGCCACCAAACAGCCCCTCCAGCGCGCGCGCGCGCCGGCGCCCTTCGCTGGAGTCCGCAGACTGCCGCGTCAGACGATGTTGGGAATGGCATCTCTGGGGATGGGGCCCAGAGGCGCCCTGTGCTGCCTCCGCCTGGAGCTTAGTGTGCGGTAGCGCCCGGCCCCGAGGGACAACCCCCGTCCCTGGGCGTGCCCGTCACACATAGTTTTTTTAAACCTTGAGATCGCTCGTGGCACTGTGTAACTCGTAGCGCTGATTGGGGTCGTTCGGATTTTGGCACTTCTCCTCTTTCTCTCTCTTTTTTTTTTGTTCTCTCTCTCTCTCTCTCTTTCTGTCTCTCTCTCCTCCTCCTCCCCTCGCTTCTCCCCCCCCTGGCGCGGCGCTGATGCGTTCTGCGGGTGGATTCGTATCGCTATAAGTGCCCGAACGTCCGCCCCTTCCATTTTCGCTGCTCCGTCCCGGGCCCGGGATATGCCGAGCCGACTTCGTCGTAGGATGAGCTCAGGCGGGAAATGTTGCCAGGGAGGATGTGGTCGGAAGCTGAAAGTTGGCGTCGGACTGTCGTGGAGCGGTGAAGGTTCAAAGTCCCAAGTGTTGCGAACCCCGAGCCCGCGCTGAAAAGTGCACGCCTGGCGGTTCGAGTACCTGTCTGCGCCGGATTCGGGCGGCTGCGTCTCCATGGGGAGGAGGAAAAGGAAGAGGAGGAGGAACATGAGGAGGAGGAGGAGGAGGAGGAGGAGGAGGAGGAGGAGGAGGAGTAATAGATTCACGGACGCTGGCAGGGGGGGGGACTGGCCCACGGGGGGGCATCATCGACCCTCATTCGCTCGTTCATCGCCAATATCGGGGCCGGGACCCCCCTCTCGGCCTGCCCAGGAACAGGCGGTGTCACCATCATGGGCCCATCGCTGATTCATCCGTGAGGTGTCGCCGATTCCAGGGCACTGCCTCTGCCCCCCCCTGGGTGAGACCCCCCTGCCGGCCCCCAGGGCGCGACCTAAACGTCGTCCTGTTGTGTGTTTGGAGTGTTTTGTTTTGTTGTTCTGTTTTTTGTTCTAAACGTGTTTTGCTTTTGGTTTCAACGAATCTGGAGATCGACGCCCATCGGAGGTCGGAGCGATGCGCTCTGTTGTATGTTCTGTCTCGGCGCCTGCGACGCAACGTTGTGCCTGGGGGTTCGCCGACACCCCTCGGCAGCCACAGGCACTCGGAGGCCGCGCGGGTCGCTTGGCGGGTCGGTGCCGGACCTCTTTTGTGTCTCCGCGGCCCGAAAATTCACGGAGCGGGCGGAGAGCGCGCCCGCGCCTTTCGGGGGGGGTGCTCGGGGGGCGGAGCCGGAGGACGAGGGCGAGGGAGAGGGACGGGGACGAGGACGAGGACGAGGAAGAGGAAGAGGGACGAGGACGCGGACGAGGACGAGGAAGAGGAAGAGGACGAGGAAGAGGACGAGGACGAGCAAGAGGGGTGTAGCGAGCGAGCCCAGCTCGAGGCCAATAGCTCTCTGCTCCTCCGGGGGCCGCCGAGAGCGATTTTCCTGTACCCCTGGCTTGTGGCCCTGCGCCATCTTCCCGTCCCGTTCGCCCGAGCGGAGCAGGAGGGGGGCAAGAGGAAGTTGAGGAGGAGGAGGTGGTGGAGCGGCATCGGGCGCTGTTTCACGACCGCGGCCTGACGACCTCAACGTAGTGGCGATCGGTCTTGGCGATGTGCGGCCTGCGGGGGTAGTGGGAGGGGGAGGACGGGGAGGGGGCACGAGGGGCACGAGAGGGACGGGGAGGAGAGGGCGCAGGATGATGATGGTGATGAGCAGGAGGAGACGCAGTAGATGGAGCAGGGGCGGGAGGAGGAGGGTGAATTGGAGGAGGAGAAGGGGGAGGAGGAGGGAGGAGGAGGAGGAGGAGGAGGAGGAGGAGGAGGAGGAGGAGGAGGAGGAGGAGGCGGAGGAGGACGCTGCGGAAGGCGAGGAGGAGGAGGAGGAGGTTGGAAAAGGGAAACATGTGCATTTCATATTCTGTTATATATGTAGATATGAGAGAGAGAGAGAGAGAGAGAGAGAGAGAGAGAGAGAGAGTAGAGAGAGAGAGAGAGAGACGGAGACAAAGAGAAAGAGAGAGAGAGAGAGAGACACAGACAAAACCTAACCAGTGAGTGAGAGGGACAGAGAGGAGGGACATCTGCTGTGGATCGTGGACGTGTGGAGGTGCAAGCGGGGGCGGCCTTCATAGCACCGGACAGAGGAAAGGAGGAGGAAGAGGAGGAGCGAGAAGGAGAGGGGACGAGGGGAAGAGGGAGATGGATAAGACGAGGAGTGGGATTGCAGAAGCAAGGTAAGGAGGGAAGTGGATGGTAGTGATGATGATGATGATGATGATGATGATGATGATGATGATGATGATGATGATGATGATGATGATGATGATGATGAT